TGAGAAGCCAGTGAGGGGCGCAGCTGGCCTGGGCCCTGCCTCACAGGCAGAGCTTCCTGCGTTAAAGGGGCAGAACGAGCAGGACGGCCACACCGGGAGGTGCAGCCCCTGCTTTTTCCTGGAGAGACCTCAGGGAAAGACCACATCCGGTAGCAAAGTGAGCAAAATAAGTAAATCAGGGTCCAGTTAAGGTGAGTCTCCACTTGCTCAGGGCTCACCAGGCCACAGGGGAACTCAAAAGAGGTAAGAGCAGCCGAAAGGAAGAAAAAGGACGTATGCACGTGAGCACCGTGCAGACGTGAAATCGGAGCCGAGCGACACATGACTGGGAATGGGAGACTGGGGTTATCTCACCGTCTTCCTTCCTCATTTTACAAGGGAGCCCCCTGTGGCCTGGGAAGTCTCACTGACTTCCATAAGGGCCCACAGGCCACGATCGGGGGGACCTGGGGTGAGAATTGGGGCAGCCGTAGAGGAATAAACTGTTAGGAAGTGGCATGCTGCAGTGTGCGTGAATTAATGGGACCCCCCTTGTGACGGCATGAAAAACAGGCGGGTGTTCTCACAGCTGTAGCTCATGAGAAGCGAAGTCCCGCCCTGCCGAAGGGTCCACAAACAGAAAAACAAAACAAACATTAAACAACAAAGGACACGCTTTGCTGAGCTGGACACCAGGGCAGCCGCGCTCCCATAGAAACAGCCCCAAGTGTTACAGCGAGACAAGAGCAACCAGACACCAGGCTGTCGCTTCCTTGGGATGGACTCACACCAGAAGCCACCCATGCCGAGTAGACATGTCACCGGCTTTTCACCTGTTCTCGACGGCGTTCAACCATCACCGCGATCAACTTCGGGACATTGTCATTACTGTAAAGGTGGCCGAGGACACCGGGATCCAGCCACGTGGGGCCCTTCTTCTCCCTTGAAAGAAGGCAGCGCGAGGCATGAGGCGCTCTCGCTCTCTGGTCTTGGCTGCAGGAAGGCTCCCTGCAGAGCGGAATGGGGCGCTGGGGGCTGGAGAGTGAGCGGGAGAGCCCGGCGGGAAGAGTGGAGGCGGCGGCGGGGGAAGCAGGCGCCAGGGCTTCGTGGGGAATCAGGAACT